TTGTTGGGGATTTCTCTTGCCAGGGCCTCATGGAGCATACAAAGAGACCCCAAGACGACACCAATTGAGACATTCCCTCCTGAACTCAGAAGGCCCACACAATTTACTAGGTTTAGGAAGCTGGTGAAACTTACAAGACCCACGAGGCCCTGCCTTGAGGTTATAAATGAAGCAGCAAACTATGGTGGGGAAGAGGTCATCCCAGCAAGCTGCCTGGAAGTTGCACAGGAAGCTCCAGGGGTGCAGCTTTTGTTACTTGTCACTCATGCTGGGGTGAGCTCTTTGATAATGCAGCTGTCTGCCTGCCACCCATGCTTCAGTTAGTATCCCTCATAAACTCATTAGCTCGCCCAGCTAGACTTGGGTGGAGTCATTTATTGTGTTTGTTGTGGGTGCTCTATTTGAAGAAATAGGGAAAGCTATACAGGAGGATATTCCCCCAGTGTCTTCTGAGGTGGGCATTACCCTGCTGAACCCAGGTCTGTTGATTTGCTCTAGGGTGTTGGTATGAGGGGGATCATTACCAAGGTAATGGTGCCAAACTAGCTCCATGCCAACTTGCTTCCAGATCTAGTTCCAGAAGCCCCAGTGTTTCTGTCTTTCCTCTGCTTGTGTCTGTCCTTCAAACCCGTGTCTCCTCTTTTCTCCCTCTGGACCAGCAGCTAGTTGCACACAGCTCCATCCTCCTCCTTCCCACTTGGATCTTGGTACATTCTGCCTCAGTCTCCCATTGCTATTCCTTGACATCTCTCTTGGATTTTCCACCCAGCACATGAGTTTTGAAGAGTTAAGCACTTTCAAAACCCTTTACTTGAAGTCAGGATCTCAAGGCCCATAACAGATTTTGAAGAACTCTGATGTGAGAATCAGAAGATCTGTGTTCTCATCTTGACTCTACCGCTCACGAGTAAGTTTTTCTGTGTGAATCTGGGATGTACTGAATACCTTTCAGTCTCTGGTCTGGTGTTTGGTGAGGAGCTCCTAAGACCTTAGAGACTTCCTAAGTGGTAAGAGTGCTTTATTTGATCTTTGATGCCGTTGACTGTCAGAGTCCTGAATCTCTTTAGAAGTTCCTCTGAAATGGGAGTGTCTTTTGTTCCAATGAGGTGAGTCTTGATAGCTCAGGTCCTGAACCATCCTGTTCACCAGTTAAAATTTGAAGCTGAAACTTTCCATTTCCCACCCCTTCTTCAGGGCAGGAAAGAGGGACTGGAGAATGACCTTGAAACTCTGCCGTATGACAGGGCTTGGAGAGCTTCCAGCTTACAGAATGCAATGAGGCTTCTGAGGAGTGTCTTTCCCAGAGAGGACATGGTATCCACGCAGCTCTTCAAGTGGCTATTCAGTTAGCTATCACTTTTATCATGTCCTGTATTAACACAGCAAACAAATAATAAACAATAATCACTTTCCCCGGAGCTCTGGGAGCTGTCATAGCAAATTAATCAAACTGGAGAAGAGAGAATTGTAAAAAGAATTCTGCATTAATAACCAGCTGGTTTGAAATACAGTTTACTACGTGTGGCTGGCATCTGGCATGGGCAGTCTTGTGAGATCCAGTCCCTAACTTTGGGACCCAGTGCTATTGCTGGGTATATAGAGTGTTAAGAATTAAGTTGAATTAGAACCCAAATCATACCACCTGGAAGATCTCTCTGTCTGTCTCTCTTTCTCTGTGTATGTAAAAATGTTTATACCTGGTTATAAAAATGTTTTACTGAATGTTGAATACATGAGCTCTCTGGACCATGGTCTCTCCACATAAAATTCCAGTCAAATAAAGTGTGAGAGGTGAGTATAGTTGTCATTGTCCCAGAATTCAATTGTTTGGTGAGTTTAAAAATACAGAGTAGCTCATCAGTGAGGCATGATGAACAGTGAGACTTCATCCAGCAACAGCTGGGCGCAGCTGCAGAGACTCACAGCCTAACCTTAGGTAGAGCTCAGGGAAGCCCGCAGAAGAGGAAGAGGAAGGCCTGTAGGAGGCAGAGGGGTCAAGGACACCATGAGAGCACAGCCCACAGAATCAACTAAGCAGGGCTCATAGGGCCTCACAGAGACTGCAGCGACAAGCAGAGCTTGCATGGGTCTCAGCTAGGTCCTCTGCATATAAGTTATGGTTGTGTAGCTTGATGTTGTTGTGGGACCCCCAACAGTGGGAGTGGGGGGATTTCTCTGACTCTTGCCTGCTCTTGGATTCTTTTCTTTCTACTGGGTTGCCTCGTCCAGCCTTGTTATGAAGGTTTGTGCCTAGACTCATTGTAACTTGTTATGCCATGTTCAGCTGATAGTCCCGTGAGGCCTGCTCTTTTCTGAAGGGAAATGGATAAAGAATGGATCTGGAGGAGTGGGAAAAATTTGGGGAGGAGCTTGGATGAGTGGCAGAAGGGAAAACTGCAATTGGCTATAATATGTGAGTGAAGGATTAAAAAGCAATAAAACAGAGTTCATAATAAACAAAAAACATGGAGGAAAGGCAAGAATGAACCATTTTGATACCAGAACCCAAACCACATTCCAACCAAAATTTGTTTGTCACAAAATGGGAGAGAGGAAGGTCCCAGAAATGAAGATGTCTTCCCAGCATGCCACACAAGGCTGTAACTCACTCAAGACTGCATTGAAGCTGTAAACTGCAGAGAACTCCTCTTGGCGAATTTACAAGGGTCCAAGAGCTCTATATTTGCTCTAGAGACAACTATTGCTTGTCTGTAATGCATACATGCTTAATTTGGAACAAACTGGGAGGCACTACTACACAATAGGCAGTTCATCCACCCCTCAGTGCTGTCTTAGGAAGAGGAAGGGGGGCATTCAGGAGAAGTTAGCATTTTGTCCTGTGGGTGGAAGAATTTTTAGTTGTTTCTTTATTGAAGTGCCGACCTGCTGTTGTTGGATGAGAGGTAACTCTGGGAAGAAGAAGTTGTGAAAGGATTAGGGATTCCATGCATTATCTCTTTGTCTCAAATATTTCCCCATCAGGGTTCTGCACCCTTTGAATGATTCCTGAGTGGCTGTCCCACGTAAGTGGGCTTCCCAAGTAAACAGTGGGGACTCACAGACCCTGTATCTACAGAAGAACTCTGATCCTGTCTATTGGCTGAGCACTGAATCTAAGATTTGGGTCAGGTATGCCTCCTGGTAGAGTCTAGTCTGGTTTAGGGTACACTGAAAGAGTATATGGGGACTGGATTAATGTAGGACAGTCAGTCAGAACAGAAGGAATGACATTCAATTAGTTGAGTCTCAATCACTAGGTCTACTATAATGTCTCTATTTTTGTTCATTTCATTTTTATATGTGTGAGTGTTTGTATGAGTTTATGTATGCCATATGCATGCAGGGACATGTGGAGACCAGAAGAAAGTGTTATAACTGGAGTTACAGATGCTTGTGAGCTGCTGTGTGGGTGCTGGGAACAGAGCGTGGGTCCCATGGAAAAGCAGCAAGTGCTCTTAGTCACTGATCCAACGCTCCAGACCCGTGGTATGAGATCTTTAAATCACATTTTGTTTCAAGGTATTCAGAAACTTGCAATTGGAATCATTACCCTCAGTTTCTATTATAGGAAGTCACATCATAGGGAGAGTCAAATTCACACCATCAGTAAATTCTGGAAGCAACTTCCTTCCTGACTGCAACAGTCATTTTTTCCCAGCCAATGTATTTATGGCTTTACCATGGTGGTCTTCCAGGGGAGCAGCTTCTTGGTGGACCAGGGTAGGACATTCTCTTTCTTTCCAGGGTGGGCTTCTGGAGTTCTCTGTTGGAAAGTTAGATCTTTGAGTGGGTGTGAAGTATCTCTGCGCTGTCACTAACTGGAATCCTTTGAGCTTAGAGCATATGTCTGCTGTCACCTTGCTGTGTGACAGAACTTTCCTGAGAAGATGTCTCCTTATCCCAGACAGGGATGTCTCCTCATCTCAGAGAGGGATGTCTCCTCACCCCAGATAGGGAACCCACAGCAGATCAAAGTAAGGATACCATCCAAGTCTACCTTGATGAACCAATGAGTTATACTGGAGTTACTTATGGGTGCAGAAATGTCTTCAAGACAGCTTCGTTACCAAATGCCACCCCAACATGGGTGACCTCTCACAAGACTGGCGGCTCAACAGGCTCAACAGGCTGAAGAGTGTCCTGTCCTTTCCTGGTCCCTTGACTGTTCTGAACCTCTTCCAGACAGTTTGGCTGGTCTGAGTCTTCTTTGCAGCTTTGCTTATTTGAGAGTTTTCTCCGCAGCTCCCCTTCCTTCAGTCTGAGGAGAACTCTCAGCTTTTATTGCTTACTCTGGCAGGGAGGGGCCTGGTGAAGTCTGATTAGTTTCAGGAACTTCCTAAAGCTTAGAGGAACCATTTTGAGTTGTTTACCTTCCTGCTTAATGTTTTACTCTGGGAGAAAAATGCCACACAAATCGCCTTTACCAAAGGGCATGAAGTCCAGTTTTATGAGTCATTGTCCTGGAGGGGATTGTGATCCATCTGTGTAATGATACTGACCAGTCTTATACAGCATTTAATTGTACACACAGGCACAAAAATTGTCATTTAGGATGTAAGTTTCACGGTGTCAAGGACATTCTCCTTCTGTCCTAGGCTTTTGCAGCATATCTGTCACACATTTATTCATTTAGTGCTGTAGACTGCATTATTGAACAAAAGAGAAGCTTTGGAGCATTATTTTTGGGCCTCATTCTTTTGTGAGCTGGGCACTTTCTGTGCCATGTGCAGTTTACTAGTTGGTTCATTGGGCTTTAGTACAGGGACTGGAGATGCCATGTTTCAGAGCTCACTTGCTACCCTAGAATTTATTTCACAGTTGCATCTGAAGACCCTGGGCTTTCTCTGGGATCACCTGAAGTATTCTCCTTTGTGGTGGCTGGGACAAGGGACAGGAATCTCCAAGTCATATCCCTTGCTGTCAATTTCTCCATCTCTCACTGGTTTATCTCTTCAGAAATACTTATAGAACGTATGTATATTTTCCTTGCCTGCCTGCAGGGTCACCAAGGAGCGAACCAGGTGCGGTGGAGCCAGGAGCACACTTGAAAATACTGGAGTCCCTAGGAAGGCTTTGCTTTGGTGGTCGTGTCCACTCTAGAAAATGCTGGAGTCCATGGGAAGGTGTTGCTTTGGTGGTCGTGTCCTATGAAGTCTGACAGGAGGAGCAACCAGCCAACATGGCGGGGATCCTCCTGCACCGTGTCTGAACAGGTTCTGGGTGGTGGTCTGTGCTGGTCTGGCTCTGACATGATCCTCACTGCGGAGACATTTTCTTCCTGGCCTCTCATTTTCCTATAGGTACCACTTTCAAGCTGTCAATGGTCAGTTAGCATCCACCTTGGCACTAGAGATTCCTAGCATCATCGGTGTCAGGATTTGTCATCCCCTTTTTCCTTCGCTGTGGCCCTCAGGTGTCAGAGATAGCCCACACCTAGAGGTCCATAGAGTGACTGCATGGCCTTCTTTGAGTAATCTGCATTCTGCTTTTCCAGGTGACCCTGATGGCTCAACAGAGGGACACTAGTGACAAGAGCATAGGGAAGCAGCTAAGTGAAGTTAGCCAGACCACAAAGTCCCTGCCTGAAGCTGTGTTCAGGGTTATCTGATGCTTTGAGTCACTCACACAGAGCCTTATCTATAAACAAACACCTGCCATCATCTTCTTCAGCCTTAATGTTGCTACCGTTATTAGTCACTGTGGCTGAGACTTTACTTACCTGACAGCACACTAGCCCCGCTGTTGGTCAGCATTCCAGAGCTTTCCTGCTCATTGCTGCGGTCAGTCCCTTCACTCAGACTTGCCTTCTTATCTCCTCAAGACCAGTGGCCCTCCCGGCCTGTTCCTCCTGCCTGCCTGGAGGTGGTGCTTGCTCACCCATGGCACCTCCAGGGGCTTCTTACCACATGCCCTGTGCCTTTACAAACTCAACCCCATCTCCGTGTGATCAGAGAGCCAGAGAGCTTTGATGAAACCTCTCTGCTGCAGACACAGGTCCTGCAGGGGCCCTCAGTTCTCCTTGGGGTTGCTCTGGGATTCTGGACACTGTTGCCAGGAAGTACACAGACTTGTTCCATCAGCCTCCCTGCTCACAACTCAGCTGCTTCTGCAGTATCACCCCTGCAGCATCAGTAAACCACCGGCAGTTTCTTCACAAGCTCTGAGCTCCTACCTCCCAAACCAGGGCAGTGCGCAGAGGCTGACGGTGAGCTGGGCTGCCTGGAGACACTGGAGCAGCAGTAGCTGCGGCTGGGTGACTAATCTCCAGGCCAGGTGGAGCTGACTCAGAAGTCGGGGGTATGAATTAGAATCCCGCCCCTGGATTTTATTACTGGGCTTCCCACTCTGCTACCCTCTTCTCCTCCAGCATCTGGCTCTACCTCAAGCAGGCCTTGGTACTGTCTGCGTGGGGCTCTTCCACCTCCAGTTGGCCCCAGACAGCCAGAGCGCTTGCTGTGGCAGCTGCTGCTTTTGAAAAGTCCTGATGCTTTCTTTTTCTTCTTGGCAACCAGTAAGTTAATTAACCAATCAATTAATTAAAATGAATAAATATCTACTCAGTGCCAGACCCATGTACTGGGAAGGATTCTCTGATTGTAAGAATAAAAATCCAGGGGCTAAGGAAATAGCTCAGTCAATAAAGTATTTGCCGTATAAGTGTGAGGAATGACCCCCGAGGTTGGCCCTTGATCTCCTTGCTCATGCACACACATACACACCATGGAAAATATATACACATAAAAATACACAGCTACACACACAAGAATCAAAACCCAACGTGTGTGGCTTAAATGAAGAAGAGTTTGTCACGAGGACATAGGGTTTCACAGAATTCCAAGGTAGCTGGGCCTCGGGAAAGGAAAATGGCAGACAGTGTCTGGAACACCCTCATTATCTCAAAGATGCTCAGCTAGTCCCTCATCTCTGGCTGAACATCTGTCTCATTCTCATGTCTTTGAAGACTGGATTTTTCTGCTTTCAGTTCAAGTGATGGGTATCAGAGGCTGCTCCCAGCTCCCACCTCAGCTCTTCAGAAGAGCAGCTCCAGCTGTTGGGGAGTCTAGCAGTCACTCTTCCAAACGGAGAGAGACCCAGCCGGCTGGATTCGGATTAGTTTCCCACCTCTTGTCCAGTACACCGGGGCCAGGCGACCGGGACTGTGGGTCCAAACATTCAGCATATCACAGGGTGGACAGATCATTGAAATGGGTATCGTGAATGCCAAGTTCTCTCCAGTGTGGTGCTGGGTTCAGAACTGCCTCACTTTCATAGGTGGAGGAGGGTTGCCTGCACACCGTCGCAGTGAAACAAAATGGCAGTCTTAACTGGGCAGGGGCAGTTTTGTCCCCTGGAGACATGGCAATGTCTGGAGATATTTTGAACTGTTTTAAATTTGCGACTACAGCTTGACCACCTTTCTCCACAGCTCATTCCCCCTCTTTTCTAGTGAGCCCAAGACACTAAGGAGGTGGGAATGGGACTGGTCTGAGTGCTCCACGCCCGAGGGACAGATGGATGCTAGATACCGCCTCCCCTCATGCGTATATCCAGGACCTCAGAGGCTCTCCCTGTATGGAAAGCCGTTACTTCCCTTCTCACTCCTGAGCTTGGGGCTGGAGCCTAGCGTGGGCATGCAGCACAGCCCAGACCCCAGGTCCAGAGTGCCTGGTTTAATGGGTAGTAACTTTCCTGGCAGTAGGGTCCTTGCTATTCAGGAGACCAGGCTGAGACTCTCCATAAAGTTCTGAGCTTGGCGAAAAACCTCACCCTCACTGAACCTTCATTTTTTATTGTGAAGTAGGAAAAATCCATTTCCTAAGATGGTAAAAGGTTCAAAAGAGGAACAGAATATATAAGTTCTCTATCTCTAGAGCTCTGGACAGCCATTAGCACTCAATCAAAGCCGTCCCTTGCCAGCACGCTTTTCAAGTTTTCCTAAGGTATTAGAAAATGACAGCCTGGAAGCTGGGAAGAGAGCTCTGTAGGTAAAGTCAGCGATGTGACATCAGTTCCCAGAACCTACACTTAACAAGGCGGGTGTGATGGCGCAGGCTTGTGATTTCAAAGCTGGGGTGGTTGACAGGCATGATCTCGGGAAAACGCTGGATAGCCACTCTAATCTACTTGGTGATCCAGACCAGTAAGAGACCCTGACTCGGAAAATAAGGTAGACAGCTCCTGGTGAATGACACCCAAGGTTAAACTTTGGCCTTCACCTGCACACACATATGTATACAAACATGCATATGTATACACACATATGCAAGCAAATCATGTCCCCCACAGCCTCAAAACCATCCGAGTCACCTCAGAGGATGATGGACAGCCATTCCTAGCATATTTAAGAAATCAGAGGAAGCCTGAGTCCCAGAGACTTTATTAGGTAGGGACTTCACAGTTAGATCCAAAACGAGTTTTCCTTCCTTTAAACTCAAAATTCAGAAAAGCAAAATAAAACAAACAAACAAACTGGAGAGAACATTCAGGAAAACCAGAATCTCTTAAATGACATTGAAGGGGTTGCGGTCAGGTGCAACATTAGAGAGCTTGGGAAGAAAGAAGCCCACAGGTTCCGTTGCAAGGCACACATGCCCTGACTGCATTTAATTAACAAAACGGAGCTGCTGAAGGCCAGGCCCTGTCATGGCATGGTGAGGGCTCATGCTTCCCCTTGGGAATGTCTGTCAGAGGCATTCATTCTTTTCCACAGATGTGCTTTCGGGAGTAAAGAGGATTTCACACAAAATGAAAACAGAGTATATTTCTGATAGACAGGTAAATGCCCTTTTGTGAAGGCAGTAATAACACGTTTGTCAGGGAGGCAAGGAATCTCAAACTTACTTTTGATACAGATTCAATTGCTCCTTTAATCCCAAATAACCACTCCATCACTGTACAAAGCAGAACAGCTGAAGGATAATTGCCAAAGTGGGAAGAAGGCAAACCCACTGCTTTTCGTCTTGAAAGGGTTTAGCCTACCTTTCAGAAGTGCTGTGTGTAGGAATCGCTCACCACTCCCCTAATGCCTCCTAGCTTCTTCCCACTGCAGACATGCTTGTTAGCTACCATTTATTACAGGCTCAGGAGACAATGGAAAGTACTGTTCTGTAATCCTACCCTTCCCCCAAAGTGAGATATTAAAAATTCATGGCATAACAGATCTCACAGAAGAGGAAGAGGTGTTGGAGTCAAGGGCCCTGTCTCCTGCAGTCTGGACACTGGAAGCATGTTCTTCCTTGACTCAGACAGTACCCTGTGCCAGCCACTCGCTGAGGTGGTACAGAATATTTGCATATCATCCTTTACACCATCCTTGCATATCAGTGGCTCTCCCATGGGTCACACTCCCCTCGGTGATCAAATGAGTGATTCACTGGATTTGCCCAAGACCATATGAAAACACAGATATTTATATTACAATTATAACAGTAGTAAAATTACAGTTATGAAGTAGCAAGGAAATAATTTTATGGTTGAGGTCGCTACAACATAAGGGAGTGTACTAAAGGGTTGTGGGTAGGTTGAGAACCACTGCTTTAGATGAAGGAAATTTATTTTCCCAAAGCCTTCCTCTGATTGGTATTACTCAAACAAGCCTTTGGTCCTCTTCTCCAGAGATTTATTTGGGGTTCTGAGACTCCAGGCTGAGTAGAGGCGAGCTCAGGCTAATGTTAGAATCAAGTAATTGGTCTTAGTGCTGTGGGAGCTCCTTCAGCTCCTTCAGCCAATAGCCTTTAAGATACCAGCCCACTTGGGCGTGGTCTCATACTATAATTGCAGCTGTAAAGCTTGTGCTCACTCTCTTGCTTCTGGCTCTTGCTTCTGGTGGGATCTAGAGCAGTGATTTGCAAGTCTCCCCTAAATAAATAACCCTTAATTATACTTAATTCTGAACTAGTGTGGGATTATATTGTAACTTCCCTCATCATCTGGTGCCCGAACATGGGGATCAGTTCATATTTTGGGATCACAGTTTTTGGAATCAGTTCGCCAGCCATGTGGCACATTGGGCACTGACTCTCCTGCCCGCAGCTCTCTGGCCCTCAAAGGCAGGGTGCTCAGTGCTCCCCAGCTTGAGATCCACATGCTACTTCTCTGTGTGTTACATGCCAGCCCACACACTACTGCCTGCAATCCCTGCGGTGCACACAGTCCGCAACTTGCACTGATGGAAAACTTTGGATTTTCTCTTTTTCCTGGGCCCCAACTCTCGGAATAGTATGATCACCTTAATAACTGTTCTTAATTTGTTAAGCAAAGCGTATTTTTCAGTACCCAAGAAAGCAACACCTGCAGTTCGTTGCTGCTAGCATCTCTCTGCCACATGGCTGCAACTACAACACCTGCTGGCCAATAGCAATTATTACACCTACTCCAATTCATCGTCATTTCCTTACGACAGGTAAAATATGAAAAATCACAAAAGATGACTGATAACATCCAGGAGTTCAATAATTATTTTGCTTATAGTATGGAAGCTATTCTTCAAGGCTTACACAAATCTTCTACATCCCTTTATTTGATTCTAGGAATTAACTTTGTTTTCAATGCTATCTCATTTAAAAATGGTTCAATACTATGAAGAGGGATAGCATCAATTTGACAAAATTATCTGAAAGAATTTTGTGCTGTTGAATCTAACTATTGAAATCTGTTGAAAAGTTATGATATGTTCAAGGATGAGACATCATCTTTACTGGACAAGTTTCATACCTTGGAATTCTCAGTGAGGACATTAGAATAGAACACTGGGTAGCAGATTCAGACTTTAAAAAAGGTGGTAGTAAAAAGATTTGAAATGATTGAGGAATTTATTGAAATTACTGATCAATGACAGAAGGTACAAGGACAGGATTTTGCCATACCAGTACATGCCAGACCCTGGTATGATGTACACAGTGTTTCAACTGCATATCTGGTAACTTCCTTGGAAAGGTCATCTGACACAAAGTACCCTAAGGTAGTCAAAGAATATGCATAGAAAACAATACATATAAGCAATCTAAAAGAAATAAAGCAAACAATAGTTTCTTATGGGTTACATTCAACATTTGTCAGAGAAATGGTGAAAACATGGGCTTTAAGCACTAAGGCTACCCCACACGATTGGCTTCAATTAATCTCAGCAGTCCTGGAAAATGGACCTCAGCTTCTTTGGAAGTGTTTTTTGGGAGAAGAAGCAAAAATTTTAGAGCAAGAGGGGAAAGCAAAAGGATTTGAGACTTTCCAAGATCAAATTCTGTGCCAGGGATGTTACTCTGATCCTCAGGATCAAGCTCTTTACAATGACCACACCTTTTCCCTATGTAGCACAGCAGCTTTAAATGTTTGGAACAGGATTCAGGAACTAGGGAAGAGAATTATGTCATATGTTAGGGTTAAACAGGGTCAGAGAGAACCCTTTACTGATTTCTTATAAAGATTAACTAAAGCTGTACAGACCCTGAAGCTAGACACATACTAATTGAATACTTAGCTTTCGAAAATGCCAACTTAGAATGTAAGAAGATCCTTGGGCCTTTCAAGGTTAGATCAGCACCCATAGATGAGTGGATCTTGCATACATTGAATGTCGAAACATTTGACTATAGTACTGAAGCTTGGATAGGAGAAGCAATTTCTAATGGTATTAGAAGACACCAAAATGCCAAATGTTTTAATTG